AGGACATCGTGAGGAGGGGCATTCCTGTGTGTGTGTGTGTGTGTGTGTGTGTGTGTGTGTGTGTGTGAAAGCCAGATGAGTCTGTGTTACCAGTGTTGGAAGTTCGAGAAAACGTGGGCTATTAAAAAGTGCATATTTTAACTGGGCAAATAAGGAAGTAACAGTTTATCTGTGGGCCCAGATTTCTTATGGGCAGCTGTAAGGGACCAGGTGCTCTGGGCAGCATGCATCCTCATATGCCACCATCCACTCTTGCTGCAAGCAGCCCCGGGGCAGCTGGGAGCTGGGTTTGAATCCTGAATTTGAATGCTGACAGAGTTCTAGAGCTTTCAGTTTCCTTTCCTGTAAAAACGAGGGTAAACCTCTACCTCAAAGGGCTATTGGAAGGATTAAAGACCACGTGTATAAAATACCCTGGGATGTAGGGGCGCCTGGGTGGCTCAGTTGTTAAGCATCTGCCGTCAGCTCAGGTTATGATCCCAGGGTCCTGGGATTGAGCCCTGCATCGAGCCCCGCATCGGGCTCCCTACTCCGCAGGAAGCCTGCTTCTCCCTCTCCCACTCCCCCTGCTTGTGTTCCCTCTCTCGCTGTGTCTCTCTCTGTCAAATAAATAAATAAAATCTTTAAAAAAAAAAAAATACCCTGGGACGTGGTGAATGGTCAGTAAATGATCGCTAGTATTTTTCACTCAACATTTACGGAGGTAGTGGCTGGGAAGACAAATATGACTCAGTCACAGTCCACAGCCCCTCCCCTCTAGGAGCTCACAGTCTAACGGGAGGGGCAGACTAAGCACAGCTAATTACGCTACAGGTGGGACACCCATGGTGAACTGTGCACAAAGTGGAATGACATCTGCCTTGTGGGGAGGGAGGAAAGCAGGCGAGGCTTCACAGAGTCCTAAGAAATGATTGACTTGGCCAGTTGGAGAATGGGAGGCAGGGCATTCCAAGCAGAAGAACCTGCACCGCACGTGCAAGAGCAGAGTGCTGAACACATTAAGGTCTGTGTAGAATTATTATTAGTGTGGTGTGATTGGAGCAAAGAAGCATGGGAGGTGGGGGCGCCTGGGTGGCTCAGTTGGTTAAGTGACTGCCTTCGGCTCAGGTCATGATCCTGGAGTCCCTGGATCGAGTCCCACATCGGGCTCCCTGCTCAGCAGGGAGTCTGCCTCTCCCCTCTCATGCTCTCTCTCTATCTCATTCTCTCTCTCAAATAAATAAATAAAATCTTTAAAAAAAAAAAAGAAGCATGGGAGGTGGGGCATGTGTCAGGGAAAGAGTCTGGTTTTATTTGCTTTTCAGCGTGTTTCAGCCCCATTTGGTAGGATTTTCGTTGTCGAAATTAGTTTTTTTTTTTTAAGATTTTATTTATTTATTTGACAGAGAGAGACACAGTGAGAGAGGGAACACAAGCAGGGAGAGTGGGAGAGGGAGAAGCAGGCTTCCTGCAGAGCAGGGAGCCCAATGTGGGGCTCGATCCCAGGACCCCGGGATCATGACCCGAGCTGAAGGCAGACGCTCAACCACCTGAGCCACCCAGGCGCCCCTGAAATTGGTATTTTGCAGAGGAAATGTTTATTTCCTTTAACTGTTCTACTGAACCTCTTACAAGTCTTAAACTGCCGGTAGTCATGGTTGGAGGGAGAACAAATGAACAAAGAAACCCACAAGAAAGCTTTACTTAGAGTCAGGTTGACAGCTTGGTTCCATGGAAGAATTTAAGCAGTTCCGGGGCGCCTGGTGGGCTGTCGGTGAAGTGTGCAACTCTAGATCTCGGGGTTATGAGTTCAAGCTCCATGTTGGGTGTAGCAACTACTTAAAAATAAAATCATAAGTGGCACCTGGGTGGCTCAGTTGGTTAAGCGTCTGGCTCGTGATTTTGGCTCAGGTAATGATATGGTGGGCCCTGGGATCGAGCCCTGCGGTGAGCCCCACTTCGGGCTCTGCACTTCAGTGGGAGTCTGCTGGGGATTGTCTCCCTCTGCCCCACTCCCCACTCGTGCTGGCACATGCATGCTCTCTCTCACATAAATAAATCTTAAAAAAAATAATCTTTTTTTTTTAAAGATTTTATTTATTTATTTGACAGAGAGAAGACAGAGAGGGAACACAAGCAGGGGGAGTGGGAGAGGGAGAAGCAGGCCTCCCGCGGGGCAGGGAGCCTGATGCGGGGCTCGATCCCAGGACTCTGAGATCATGACCTGAGCTGAAGGCAGACGCTTAACGACTGAGCCACCCAGGCGCCCCTTAAAAAAAAAAAATCTTAAAAAAAAATTCCTTTCAGGAGGAATAAAATCCAGTATCTTGGGATAATTGCTCAGGGTCTCTGGACAACTTTGCTCCTCAGATGGCATGTGGACCCATGTTCATAGCATTGTTCACAATAGCCAAAAGGTGGAAAAACCCAAGTAACCACGGACAGATGAATAGATAAACAAAAAAGTATATAAATATATTATTCCGCTATAAAAAAAGATTGCAATTCTGATACATACTAGAACCTGGATGGACCTTGATAACTTTATGTTAAGTGAAAGAAGCCAGACACAAAAGGACAGGTATTATATGATTCTACTCAAATGAGGTGTCTGGGATAGGCAAATTCAACTTGCACAACTCAACACCAAAAAAATACCAATAATCTAATTTTAAAAATGGGTGGAGGACCTGAATAGACATTTCTCCAAAGAAGACATACCGATAGCCCGCAGACACAGATGCTCAACATTACTCATCATCAGGGAGACGCAAATAAAAACCAGGATGAGAGGAGCGCCTGGTGGCTCAGTGTACTAAGCATCCGACTCTTGATTTCGGCTCAGGTTATGATCTCAGGGTTGTGGGATAGAGCCCCGTGTTGGGACCCACACTGGGCGTGAAGCCTGCTTAAGATTCTCTCTCTCCCTCTCCCTTTGCCCCCTCCCCCCTCTAAAAAAAAAAAGACAAGAAATAACAAGTACTGGTGAGAATATGGAGAAAAGGGAACACTTTGTGGACCATTGGTGGGAATGCAAACTGGTGCAACCACTGCGGAAAACAGTCTGGAGGTTCCTCAAGTAATTAAAAATAGAATTACCCTATGATCCAGTAATTACACTACTGGGTATTTACCCAAAGAAAATGAAAACACTAATTCAAATAGAATAGGCAAATTTCCTGAGACAGAAAGTAGAATAGAGGTTACCAGGAGCTGGAGGGAGTGTGGGGAGGGAATGGGCAGTTAGTGTTTAACGGGTCTAGAGTTGTTTGGGATGATGAAAAAGTTCTGGAAATAGCAGTGATGGTCACATAACATTGTGAGTGTACTTAATGTCACTGAATTGTATACTTAAAGTTGGTTAGGGTGTCTGGGTGGCTTAGTTGTTAGGCGTCTGCCTTCGGCTCAGGTCATGATCCCAGGGTCCTGGGATCAAGCCCCGCATTGGGCTCCCCGCTCTGCGGGAAGCCTGCCTCTCCCTCTCCCACTCCCCCTGCTTGTGTTCCCTCTCTCTTGCTGTGTCTCTCTCTGTCAAATAAATAAAATCTTTAAAAAAAAAGACGGTTAAAATGGTAAATTTTATGTTGTGTATATTTTACCCAGCCCCCAAAGATGGAATTTGGGGGTTAAGATGGAAGAGTAGCTTCTGTGGCATTAGGGCGTTAAGGAGGGTGGGATTCTGAGACCATGTCCTGTCCTCTGGCTCCCCTATCTCCTGGCCATATCCTTTGTCCACGAGCTTTTGCCTGAGCACTGTGGCTGCCGGGGGCTGCTCTCTCCAGTGGCCTTGGCAGTGCCCTTGGTACGTCCTTGCCTCACTGCCACACTGTCTGGACTTAGGGTCCCCTCTGAACCCTCACTAAAAAACCACCTTCTCCCTCCATCGCAGAACCCCAGGTGGGAAGCTCCCTAGGCAGATCCCCCTGGGGAGCACCTGGGAAAGTTCAACCCACAGCATCTTCCCCTGCCTGGCAGGACTGTGCTGGTGTGTGATCAGCCCATGAGAGCCCTTTATGTTATTATCCCCATTTTACAGATGAAGAAACTGAGAGTGGTCAAACAATCAAGCCGAACCTGGGTTGTTCTGACCACAAACACAGCCCACACAGGAGCGACCATGGATGTAATAAATGAGGCTCAGATTTTGTACTGTACTGGGGAATTTGAACTTTATTCTTTAGATAATGGGGAGCCAGCAGAGCTGGGGAGTTCCAGGGGAGGTGCTCCATCGTATTTCTTACCATCTGACATAATACCTATTTACTTGCACTTTATTATCTGTCTCCCTTCAATGGAATGTAAAGTAGACGGGGGCAAGTCCTTTGTTTTGTTCAGGGCTGTGAACATTCCTGGAACCTTCTAAAGCTCAGTAAACATCTGTAGAAGAAAGGAAGAAAGGGAGAGATATTATTAGCGGAACCTGTGCACTTGACACATATCTCGTTTAATCTAACAACCTCGTGAAGTAGGAGACACACCCCCAAACCACCACCACCAACCACCACCTTTTTCCCCAGGTAAGGAAAATGAGGTTGAGAGATTAAGTCACCTTTCTGAGGACAAAGGTAGGCAAGCTGGCAGAACCAGGATTATGAACCCAGGTAGTCTGACTCCAGAGCCTGGGCCTCTAACACCGTGCTATACATAGCCTTACTGCAGAAAGCTACTCTGGCCGGATGGAAAGTGGAGGAAAGATCTGAGGCTGAGAAAAGACTCAAGAGGCCAGCCAGGTTAGCTGGATAAACATTTGTGACTTCTACCCCGTCCTTGCATAATCTTGACTTTGGCTTGCCTTCCTATTCCAGGTCTCCACTGCTGATGAAGCGGTGCCCCAAAGCATCCAACCCCTGACAGCCATCTGCCCTGCAGCCATAGCCCACATTCCCATGCCCTGCCGGCGCGGCGAGGGGACGAGGGTCTCTGCGCAGCCACCAGGCTCCACCCCGGAGATGAACACGATGTCAGGACCCTAGCGTGCCCGATGATGCCCCCTGCCTAGCTCCTTCTCACACTGTGGTACGATGTTGAGCGACTCTGCCAATAACTCCAGCGTTGCTCCCCCGTGCCCTGACTACCGGAGCACCCACCGCCTGCACATGGTGGCCTACAGCCTGGTGCTGGCCGCCGGGCTCCCCCTCAACGCGCTGGCCCTCTGGGTCTTCCTGCGCGCGCTGCGCGTGCACTCCGTGGTGAGCGTGTACATGTGCAACCTGGCGGCCAGCGACCTGCTCTTCACCCTCTCGCTGCCCGTGCGCATCTCCTACTACGTCCGGCACTACTGGTCCTTCCCCGGCCTCCTGTGCCAGGCGGCGGGCGCCATCTTCCAGACGAACATGTACGGCAGCTGCATCTTCCTGACCCTCATCAACGTGGACCGCTACGCGGCCATCGTGCACCCGCTGCGGCTGCGCCACCTGCGGCGGCCCCGCGTGGCGCGGCTGCTGTGCCTGGGCGTGTGGGCGCTCATCGTGGTGTTCGCCGTGCCCCTCGTCCTGGTGCACCGGCCCTCGTCCTGCAGCTACAACGGCAGCCAGGTACACCTGTGCTTCGAGAGCTTCGGCGACAGCCTGTGGAAGGGCAAGCTGCTGCCTCTCGTGCTGCTGGCCGAGGCGCTGGGCTTCCTGCTGCCCCTGGCGGCCATGCTCTACTCGTCGGGTCGGGTCTTCTGGACCCTGGCGCGTCCCGACGCCAGGCGGAACCAGCGGCGGCGGAAGACCGTGCGCCTCCTGCTGGCCAACCTCGTCATCTTCCTGCTGTGCTTCGTGCCCTACAACACCACGCTGGCGGTCTACGGGCTGCTGCGGGGCAACCTGGTGGCGGCCAGCGGCCAGGCCTGCGACCGGGTGCGCCAGGTGCTCGTGGTGATGGTGCTGTTGGCCGGCGCCAACTGCGTGCTGGACCCGCTGGTGTACTACTTCAGCGCCCAGGGTTTCCGCAATACCCTGCGCGGCCTGGGCACTCCGCTCCGCGCCAGGACCTTGGCCACCAACGGGGCTCAGGGGGCGCTTGCCGAAGGGCCCACCGAGACCACCCTCATCACCAGTCCGGCTACCGCCAGTCAGCAGCTGCTTGGGCCTTCCAACTTCGGGACGCCCTTGACCCAGCGCCCCGAGGACTCGGCCCTCTGAACGCACATCGTGCGGTCGCGTTCCTGTGTGTTTC